GCATCAGTAATTGTTCAATTGTCAAGTGTTGGGTGTTGGTGTATCCCTATATGAGCTCTATAATTTACTAAACAAGCTAATAAATTAATGAATAGAGTCAAAATACAATGGAAAGTGTAGTCCTTTATGCTATAATCTTTGGTAGTAAAAACTATTGTTGTTTTTAAAAATACTTCTATATGTAGTAGTAAAACTGTTATACCCGTGCATAGCACGGGTCAAAATACTAATTGAGTTATAAATGTTTTGTTGGTTATTGGTGTTAATTTCCAAAAAAAAAAAAACAGAATCTCTAATGAAAATCACGTTTTTTAACCTTTTGTTTTTTTGTATACCCACCTTTGTTTAAAAATCCAAGAAAATCCTGAAATCAACTCACCAAGTTTGCGATGCAAGAAACATTGGTATTTTCGGATTTTGTTGATTTATTGATTAATTAATACTCATGTATAGAGATTTTTTTTATGTAGTGATTTTCAAAAAACAATTTTTATAATAATATTATAAGAATGACATGCATTAACTTGGAATTATAACTAATATTTTCTGTTATCGCTATAGAATGGATGTTAGTAATGGATGTTAGTATCATGATAAATTATCCAAATAAAAATGTTTTCTACCTCCTTAAATATGAAAATTAGAAGTAACCATAGTTATTATTCTTAACGATGAAAATAATAATAGTTATATGTAAAGGATCAACTATCGCATCTAAAATTTTTTTTTACAAGTTTTAGATACATACCGATAAGAAAACCATAAAATAAAAAGGAAATATATATTGGTCAGTTTTTCTCTCTACCACATACAAGGGACTAGAAAAAAGTTAGCAAAAGCTAAAATATTCAAAGAACATGAATTCAAAGTGTAGAGATCTCAAGGGACTAAAGTGAGACTAAAAAGCAGGTTGAAAATAAAACTATAGATGAACTTCGACCATGCGGTGTGAATCCTACGGAACATTAAAACCACTAAAATAAAATCACTAGTGAAAAACATTAATAGTGACTGTAGACTGTGTAGCCTATAACAGAATGCAAGAAGAAATGGAAACAAATTTCACAACCATCGATTGAAAATAAAGACTCTGTTTTGCTTATATGTAAACAAAGTCTGATCATTAGCAAAAAAGCAGAAAGAGAAACTGTAAACATAAAAAAAAAAAAAGAGAGAACATGACAAGAACGCAAAAAGAGGAACTTAACCAGAGTAGTCTAAGCCTTAGGTATAAAATTCTCTCTCAAAAACACCATAAAAGAATCACATCAAAACTAATTCTCTCTCAAAAACCTAAATAAAAGCCAAATTGAGAATAGCATAATTCAAAAAGAAATCAAAACAAAAATCACATCCGTCAAAGGTGAACACACTTTTAGACCATTCTACGACTCCCTGAAGCTCTTCAACACCATGTCTCTCAAACGAAACCTCTGCACACCAAATCTCTGTTTCCCAACCTACACTGAGAAACTTCTCTTTTTTCCACCAAACTGTCACTCTTCTTCCTCCGCACAAGTTTGCCACCGAAACGAAACGATTAGGAATATATAGTCCTTCAAGTCCCGTAACATTTCTCCACACATCTTTATTTGCATCACACCAAGTTACTTTCCCATTGTAAACAGATATTTGGCAAAACACGTTACTCTCTATCTCTACCAAGCAAATATCCTTGAGAAAGTTAAACTTCAAACCATCCATGCCATAAAGTTTTCCACCAATTACCAATCCACCAGGAACCGTACTCTTTTGAGTTGGGAGATGCATTGTTGTGGACGATGATAATTGCTCCCAAGTTTGCGTCTTTAGGTCATAAACCTCACCCCAATTCTCGATTTTGTCTGACTTGCAGCCTCCAATCACATAGATTTTACTGTTGATTACTTCAGCGGCTGATTTTCCTCGAGGTATTCGCATTTCGGGAAGTGTATGCCATTGATGAGACTGGCAATCGAGGAGAAACACTTTTCTGCGTCTCTCGTCCTTTAGGAATCCGCCGATTAGGTAAATCTCTGAATCAACTGAGACGATTGTTGGGGATTCGGGATATTCGTAAGGAAACGGAGGGATTGGTATCAATTTCTGTTGGTTGGGAGTTGATGCAAGCATGAACCAGCGAGGTTCTGAGTTTTTTCGAGTTTTTAAACAGACATACATGTAGTTCTCGGTTTTTCCGATTAGGGTTCGTGTGACGTGGAGCTCACGCGAAGCTACCAGTGATCCAAAATTCTTGGAGACAAGAGATAAGGTTCGACGATGCAGTCTCGTGATACGAGCCAAAATATTGAGAGTGACATCGTACGGTAACGAAGAAAACGACGTCGGAGCAGGAGACTCTGATGATTTCCTCGTCTCTTCCGTCGTCACCATGTAGCTTCGTATGAATCAGATTTCTTTTTTTTTTTTTTGGGTATGAATCAGATTTTTGTTTGTTTGTTGAGAAAGCATGATTTAGATTTAAGGGTTTCTGTTCTCTCTATCTATTTTATATACATTGTTACGATATGCTAAGATATCGTATATTCTCATATTGTGTATATCTCTATTATAGTAAATGAATAATGTAATTATGAGTTTAGGCAATTAGGTAAAACGACTATGTATAAATATTGGCCTGATAGGGCATTGAAATGAATAAGAACCAATTATCGATTTTTTTTTTTACTAAACAATTATCGAT